TCTCAGGATAGCCTGACCTGGAGACGCTGGCTGCGCGGCTACTTCGGCAACGCGCAGGGCTCATCGACATCTATAAGGTCTCGAAACGCACGATCCATGCCCACCTTCCCAGGCCCCCCTGTCCGTCCAACCCGTTTCCCGCCCTCTTTGCGATCCTCCCTCACGCGCCCCCCTATCTTAGGTCTACACCTTCGCACAACGTCTGCCCCTCTTCCTAGGGGCCCTCGAAGAGACCAGTCAGGACGAAGGTCACCCCTCCGCCCCCCTCCAGAAGGTAAAGCCTCCCTTCCGATTTCCCTCCTTCCCTCCCTCCTTTCCCTCCCTCCCTCTCGTTTCGCGTCTCCCCCGGTCACCCCGCGTCGTCCACTTCGAAGTGTCCCCGTCACGATCCTCTCGGGCCTTTTCCCTCTTTGACCGGCGCCAGACACCTGGTCCCCTCATCCCTCTCCTCCTTCCTTACTCCTCGCTTCCCTTCCCTCCCTCCCTTCCAGCGTTTCTCCCGGGACTTGTGCCGGATCCAGGAGCACTTTCAGAAGTTTTCCGCCCTGGTCGAATGCGTGATTGACATGTCTGCCCTCCCCGATCTCAGCATCAGTCCCGGTATGCCCTTCCTCTTTCTCTCCCTCTTCCCTCCCTCCCTCCGTTCCCTGCGGACAAAGGCATCTTTTCCGTGGAATGCTCTGGATACCTCGGAGGGGTCGAATGGAGGGATGATCCAGCTCCTCACTCATTCTTATTTTTCCTTCCTCCCTTCCCTGTTCGGCTGTTTCCCCAGCCCACGACCCTGCTTTGGCTGAACTCAAGGAGGAGATCGACGAGGTGGAAGACCACATCGAAAACGTATTCAAAAAAGCTACCCGGGGATTCGCTCAAGGTCAGATCCCTCCTGCCATCCTTCCTCCCTCCCTCCCTCCTCCCTCCTACCGGGCGTATGGCGCCGCCCTTGTTTTATCTTACAATTCTTTCACTCACCTCTTAGACTTGGGGATAGAGCTCCGTCTAGAGTTGCAGAAAACGACTGGCACCTATTGTTTTCGGTCCACAAAACCGGCGGATGACAAAAAGCTGCGCGCCTGCAAGGTCATGCCTCTCCCCCCTCCTTTTCTTCTTTTTGTACCCTGGCTCCGCTCCTTTTCGCCGCAGCCTTGCCGCCTGGTCCTGACAGCTCTCTTCCCCTCCCTCCTATGTGTCTGCAGACGGTCAAGTGCGAGATCCTTTCCATCCTCAAGAACGGCGTCTACTTTACCACCGCTCCCTTGAAGGAGGCGTCGGGCCGTTTTCTGGACC